ACAACATCTGGAGCTAGTAATGTAATAAAATCTAAAAGGGCTTGTTTACGCAACCACATGTGAAAAATGCAACAAATTCTTTCCCAGTTATATTTTGTAGACAGTTTTAAGGGGTAACAAATGCAAAAATAGGGCCTGTGAACATGGACTGATGCATAAATTATTTAAATGTGTTCTCTCTCGCTCCCCAAATATTGTTCACCATCTTTGCAATGAAATTCTATTGTAGTGGTTTCAGGCATGGGAGGATCTGTGTACATCTCTCTTCATCTGGGAATTTTCCACAATAACAATTCAAAAGAGAACAGACCGCTATAAACACTCACACACCTGTTCTGTTTCACTTGTTCTTGGAGGTGAGACAACAACATCATCAAATTAAAACCTGGTCCAGCTGACGTCTTGATGAAACTTCTGTTGGGCTTAAATACTGATCCGTGTCGAAGATGTGGTTTGCAGATAGTGGAATATGCAACCTTTTCTGATAGTTTGTAGCATTTTTCACTGTCAGATAGACTTTCAGACCTGGCAACCCTATTCTAGAATCAATTTGGCAGTCGTATTGGGCTCGGAGAATGATTTATAAACCAAATGCCTTTGAGCTGCGCCTGCTCGCCTATTGTTTTGAACCTCTGCCTGTTGTGACAGATCAATGCCTGCACAATTACAGCGTGATTTATTGGTAACACGGCTGGAAGCGGATGGTTAAAAGAGCATTTATCTGGCTATGAAATTCATATTTTGCACCAGCAGCTTTTCATGTATGATGAATCAATACACACACATTGTTGGTCTGGCACAGCTGGCAAACACATAAGCCAAGCTGACAGCTGCCGCTAGACCTGAACCGCACATTACTGCGCTGGCGATGTCATCTGCCACTGAACAAAGGGCGTGGGCAGGCACTCGCAAGAGCCAGAGTATAGCTAAATGCTTCTGAGCCACAATTTATACTAAAAACTGAACAAATGAGACATCTCGCTGTTTTCCCACTACTCTCTATTATGTACGTGTGAGGTTGTTTCAGGGAGAATTGTACCTAGATATTAACTTAGCTCATAGGCATTATGGTGGCGCAGTGGTTAGCGCTTGTGCTTCATAGAACGAATGTCCATGGTTAAATTTTATACCTCCAGGCCTTTTTGTGTATAGTTTGCATGTTTTCCCCGTGTCTGGTTTCCCCATCACTAAAAACATATACAATAGGTCTGGCATGTGCCTCCTGTATAGCGATCTCGCTTCCATCTCTGTGTGGAGTTAGAGAAAAAGGCCCACAACAATTTTAATGTGACTCTGGTCTGTGAGAGTCGCTATATAAGTAGAATTCTGAAAGGGGGTATCTCGAGAGTCTGGCGAGGACAATCCTGGTCTCTGACAATATCAGAAGCCAGGATACAGAGTGGAAAAGTACAGGTTGTTAAGCCCATATTGTTGAGTGTAACACAACATACTCATCACAACACATCATAGTCTATGATTTGACCCAATCACAGTCAATCCTCCTAGTTGTTAGCTGTTTTTCCTCTTTAGAGACTTATTATATTGACAGATGTATCCTCATTTTGCCATTCAAAGGTTGCAAAAGAGAGGTATTTTTAGCATAAGACATGTGGATTTTAAATACATAACACAGTCATATACACTGATCTATTTGCTCAGGTAATTAACACATACAAATGCTATAATGATGCCTAATGTAGATAAAAAACAATAGAGTTAATGACATTGTGAACATTTCAGGTGTAGTTTTTCTCAGCCTGTGTTGCTGTAGTTAGTGTCCAAAGTTTGCAGGCTTGAAGCACTGTATTGATCTTGTCACAGGATCGATCACAACATCAATGCTGTCAGTGATGGACAAAGGTTTTACCCAAAAAAAATCCGGCCCCTTTCATCCTCACCTTAATGCGGATAAGTTGTTCTATCTTTTTTGTTGAGCAGCAGCCCCAATTCATGTGTCCATCCCCATGCTTCAGAGTGAGTATGGTGTGCTTGGGATGATACCCGCCTCAGTCCTGCATTCCGTGGCCTCTGTCCTCGTTCCGTGGCCTTAGTCCTGGATCTATACCCCGCCCGTCCATGAGAGCGGATCCCTATCGCAATGTGGGCCTTCCCGAGGTTTCTCACTTTTCACCGACTGGATTTTTAGAGGCTTTCCTTGTCGATGCAGGAGGGTCTAAGGACAGTGGTGATTATCCAGGACACTCGATGATCAATGGTATTTATGGGCATTTATTAACATTGGTCATTATGGATCGATGGCACTATGTGTTTTTTTGTCATTGCATTTCCCTTGTTTCAACTGATTCTCTGATATTTGTCAAATTGACAGGTTTGTAAAGTCCTCCGAGATAACTACTGTTGTGAACAAAAATACATGGAACTGAATTGGTCTCATCTCACCCCATGATATTCTTCCAGGCCTCTTTTGGATCATCCATATGGCCGCTGGAAAACTTAAGACAGGTCTGGACATGCGCCGGCATGTTGACCTTTTGGGCGCTGTATTCCCGAGAACTCCATACCCACGGCAAAGCATGGGGGTGGAAACATGACGGGTTGTGGCTGCTTTATCAGATTCACGCTATGAAGTACATATCTTGCTGCAGTTTATTTTGCTGCTGGACACTTGCCTTCCATGGGGATCAATAAAGTATCTATCTGTCTGTTAAGACTTATCTAAAATGGCTCTTACTGTCAAAGTTGGACTGCCAGGTGTCGAAATATAGCACATTGTAATAGCCTACCAAGCCATCGCCGCAGGTTCATATAGAATGCTAGTTGTATGTTCCTTTTTGAAAGTTGTGAATAGAGCAAAGACAGCAGCTCTGCTTGTGTACAAGTCTCTCCCTGGCCTTGCACCAAAGTACATTCGAGATATGTTCGTACCATATGAACCAACTTGGCCTCCTGCTAGTACCCAGAGTCAGAACTAAACATGGAAAATTCAGATTCATGCAGCTAGAGTCTGGAACAGTCTTCTGGAAAATGTTAGACAGGCTTCTTATTTGACATAGTTCAAATCCAGGGTTAAAACAGTTCTGTTTAGCCATTTGTTTTAATGCCTAGTGTGATTATGTTTAACTTGTTTTGTTAAGCACTTAACACAGTATGAACTGTGATGTACAAATAAACTCGCTCTGCCATTAATAATGTGCAAGGCCTAATCCAGATACAGCACCTCAAGCTTATACTTATACTTGTGGAGTGGGACAAAACGAGTTGGCAGGGCGAGACATAAGAAAGACCACAGAGCGCGGGATCGATGCAGTGCTTTTTGCTGCGGGATGGAAGGTCTTCTTTCACAGCAGCAGCAGAAAAGACGGCAGGGTGTTGGAAGCACACAACACATGATGAATGGTGAGGAGACTGAAGTGTCTGACAGCATTGATCCGCTGATGTGCGTCTTTAATTGAGCCGTGCATATCCTCTGCGTGTTCTTAATGTGCCTCTAATGGCCACTTTGCTTTGTATAATGAGTCACATTTCCACTCACCCACCGCCACATGTGAGCCTATTATAATTTTATTAAAAGGGTTTCATTTGATCTCACACAGTCATGAAAATGATGGGATGTTAACCAAGGAAGTCAAACAAACTGTATAATCTTTTATTTCATTAGCAAAAGAGATTTGGACGCACCGTTCAGTTTTGGGTAATGAGTTTAATCTATTTTGTAGAATTGCATATCTCTATTAGCCCAAATGATGGAAGCAATCTCTCTTTGTTGTCTTTGTAATGAAATAAGTTGTCGATGAAAACAGACTCTGCTAAATCAATGGACCATTTGTGAAGTTGTTTGTGAGATATTCTGGACTTGACCTCATGGGGGACACATTTTAAATGTGGATTATGAATTGAGACACGAACAAAGGAAAGCAATTATTACCTCTGATAAACAAGTTAGACAATTTCATTTTGAACCTAGGGAAAAGTTCTACTTCACCCCCTATAATTTGCATGTGTACCTGTTGATTTATGTTAATGTAAGTTCTTAATCAGTCTGTTTTAACTAATGAAGTATGAGTACATTATGAATGTCTTGGAAAACTGTGGTAAATTGTTTTGCACGTGAGTTAGTCTTTAAAGTCCTGTTTTCCATTGGATTTATGAAAATGGTTGATTTCATGTTGGTATTTGTCATGTACTGTATTCTATCATGTATTCCAACTCAACTTGTTAAGAAGCAGATATACTTTATTGTTCTCACAATGGAGAAATTTGGTTTGATGAATAGTCATACATACAGTACAGTACATACAAATATCACATCTTGTGATATCCTCCTGTTACTTCCGCGCTCCTTATAGGCAAAGTGGGGTAAAGGGTCTTGCCCAAGGACAGCAGACACTGATGGGAGTTTTTGGAGAACGTTTTGTGGTGGGCTCAAACCAGCAACCTTCAAGCTAAAAAGGCCAGTGCTCTACCAACTGAGCCATTGTTGCTCTGTATTAGAGCATTTTTCTTATACATAAAATCTTACTCAATAAAATGCAACAAGGACTGACATTTTACTTTTCAGTTATTTTATATTGGTTTTCATTGCTCTTGGTCAATAATGAAACTCCAAACTCTATCAAGCACTGGCCATTCATCCTCCTCTCATACCAAAGAGAAATAGCTCCATAATGCATACCACATCTTACACTTACACTTCTGAAGTATTGAAATAAAAAGGGTCCATTACAATAAATTCAAGACAACAAACAACAATGAGTGAATGGGAAATATTATCCTATGTGTTTAAAGGGGCATGTTGTCACAATCATAAAGCATCACACTGGTACAATACAGTGATACCTAATAGAATCCTAAATCCTAAAGATACTATATCAAAACAGAAAACCTTGTATTTGTGTCAAGACCAAAAGAACCATAACTATCGCCTTCCTCTGATTGAACGTCTTGCTTAATCGCTTCACGTTGGATGAAGGATATCGTACACTGAGTCATAACAGCAGCTCTGTCACTGATTTTTTTCCCTTGTTTACTTGTTTCATCAGGTTTGGCCTCATCCTTCACCGGAATGAGCCTGTCCTCCACAAAATCGACCTGGAGACCACATCGTACGTGAAAAACATCAGCCTGCAAGACTACGGCTGCATCCCAAAGTCTATGGCCCATACCCACCTGGGGGGTTACTACTTCGTCAGCTGCAAGCCAGACTCCACAGGCGCCACCCAGCCTCAGCTAATCATCGACGGCGTGACAGACAGCGTGATCGGGTTCAACCGCGACGTCGCCGGCACTCCATACGTTTCTCCTGATGGACACTACTTGGTAACCGTTGACGACTCAGATGGACTTATGCGAATCCAAACGGTTTCGGAGCGCGGCGAAATCAGCAATCCTTTCGACATCCACACCAACCTGCACCTGTCGGACGTGGCTTTCCAGAGATCCTTCACGGAGATTCACCAGTACAACATTTTCGGCAGTTCTGGGCGGCAAACTGATGTTCTTTTCGTAGAACTCAGCAGCGGGAAAGTCAAAATGATCAAGAGTTTGAAAGAAGCCACCAAGTCGTTCGAATGGCCGTGGAACGTTAAGAATCGGATTATGGTGAGCGGCGGACTTTTCGGACAATACCTCATGACGCCATCCAGAGAATCTTTGTTCATTTTAGACGGACGACTCAACAAGCTCAACTGTGAGATCACGGATGTGCTGAAGGGGAATGTGGTGGTGTGGGTCGGCGAGTCCTAGATCCCGGTGTGACATGTGTTCAGTTCCTCTAAAAAGTACTCTTGCACTGTTAAGTTTATAGTTGGAGCTCAGAATTGTTCTAGAACCAAATTGAAGAAATCCAATTGAAAGCGCAAATATTTAAGGAAAGCAACATTATGGAACTTAATCAATATTCCAGGTTACAAAACAAGATTCAAAAGTAGTCATTGGGATCAGGTTTTCAGCATTTTCCATTATTTTAGGTCAAATCGGGTTGGGGGATTCAATAAACTGCCTGATTAATGCACTTCATCAAAGAGTTCAACAATGAGTAACTATCATTCTAATACAATACCTGTTTTTCTTTTGCACAACATTAAATTTACAGAAATGCTCCAAGTTCTAAGTTTCTTCAGATGGACCAAAAAGTTACATATTGTTGCTTGAAATATGTTGCAAATTTAACTTTGGATACACCAAAATTGCAGTCGCAGATATTTGCGATTGCTGTAGATAATCTTCATCCCTTGAACGTAGTAAAAATCAAATCTATCCCTATATATGCGTACGTCGCGTAATTTGAATTTTCACCCATCCCTAGTCTTTCCCCGTGCCTTCAAATGAAAAACCTGTTTCGTCTGAGGAATTACCGTAATTATTCCCAGCGTGACTGCAAACCGGCTCACCTCTTTTCTTTGACCCGAGCACAAATCGCGCGCTCTCTTGTATCAATCGGGCTGAATCTGCCGACTTTCCCTAATTAAAATGGGCCCTTGCTGTGATCCCATCCCGTTTGAAGTGGTGAAGGAGAGACAAGAGTGGGTTCATTATGGCTGCGCGCTCCGTAACCTCCTGATCTCGAATTATAACCAGCGCCTGTAGGTCCACGGTATACAGTCTTTTCTCGCCTTTCTTTATAGTCCAAAGCAGAAAGACTGGAAGAGAGTGACAGAGACTCACACACCAGCTTTAGACAAACACACGTACATATAAAGCTTAGGAAACTCAATCGTAGAGTCAATCCAGCACTTGTATTTAAACTGAACCTAATGAAAATGTCATGTGTGGACCAAAAGACTTGGGCTTGTACTAGTGAATTAACGGTGTGAAATTTGTGAAGTAATTATGCATTGATATGTTGGAATGTGGGATTAGAGACTATATGGTGGCTGGTTGCCCATATTTCCTTATATAGGTTTTATATATGTATTTACAAATGTTGCTTTAGGAATAATTATCATAATAAGTTCAAAATCAAATAACCGTAACAATTTTTCTTGGCAATGCGCTTTGAAGTTTGACGGATTTAGGCTCTATGAATTATGAAATAAGAAATTAGAAATATGGGCATCCTAAGATCAATGTTTAGGGCTACACAATCAGTCAGCTTTAGGTATTTTTAGACAAACCATTTTCTTTCAATGCTAGCTTTAAATATGAATTGAAACATTAGCAGCCTTTTGGCATCTTTGGTTTATGTTGATTTTCTTGCTTTTGCATTTCTCGTCCTGTATTGTGTAGTCCAATGTAATGTAAAGCAAATGGCTAGTTCCAATGTGTAGAGGGTCATCTTGAATGATCTTTTCTCTGAATGTTGCTGCAGTAGAATTGTAGCAGAGGAACGTAACCTAATCTATAGCCGGTTCGACGGGGCGTGTTAAGCTGGACACATTTTCTATGCATTCTCACCATAGCACTGAATGGATCTGTGAATCACAATGGGCAAGTGGAAATCCCAGTTAAAATGGACTTCTAATGTACAGTCACCCTTCCACCTTCTTACTGCTAATGTACGCATCTTTGTGAATGGGTGAAGTCAGAGAGGTGGTATGGAAAGAGCGGGAGTGGATGTCAGTAACAGCTGCAATGGAGAAATCTGAATCTGAATGAAAGTTAAAAAGTCCTGAACGAAATCACAACAATAGCTTTAAGGGAGCGCTTAACACAATTGTCTTTTAGCTCCTTGATTATGGTTAAATTAAGCAAATGGTCAAATGTCAAAGAGCACCCTTCATCAGGCGCAGAAAATTCTTCAACAAAGCGTATGGGATGAATAAAGGTATTTTGGTTTTGTATTTATTTGACAGCGACATTGCACAATAACTGTGTTGTTCAAACCAGACATGGCTACAAGCTCATTTCCATTCGTAGTCCCTGGGCAGAGGCAAAGTGACAGCAGGTTTACAGTGTGCAAAGAATGAATACGTAGAATGGCCGAGTTTAGCTCCTAAAATACAGGTACAATGCGGCAACCCTAACCACAAAGAGACACAATATATATCACGCAATTATTTCCACCTGATGACTGCAGGCTTGATTCTCTGTGAACCATGTCAGACAGGGGTAAGGGCTGCTGCACAATTTATTCTAACAAATATGATAGATGCACATTATTATTTTTTGTCAATCGTCCCTAAAGTATAGTAAATGAGAAAAACAATGCAGCTGTGACTGGACGTTCCTCCGGCGCTCTCTCCGACCTCCCAGACGAAAAACCTCTTCTTCTTCTGTCCATGTTGTTTTTTCTGAAATGCTGTTTCTGCTTCACCTTTTTTCCTCTTGTACAAATCAGCTGACTGTGAATCCATTGTTTTCATCACATGTTCTGTTGATTCTCCAAAGACTGTCCTTTTAAAACAAACCAAAAAAACAAAAAAACACACTATTTGAACACTCCAGCACATTGTGATCACTGCATCCTGTTTCTTTTATGTGATTGTACTTTATAGATTACACCGTTGTCATTTTACCCCACAATAAAATCTATACCATAAAAATACAGCTATTTTGGTCTGGTCTCCTCATTAAAATGTGCCGCGAACAAAGTTTGTGTACGATCGACGGCTACACGGAGCCAAGGCGCCGATGCCAATTACCATGCAACAAAATCAGTTACGGGAACAAGGTCAGGTCTGTAAATTCCCCCAGGTGTCGTTAACGCACAGAACGACTCAGGTTAACAAATACATATTTTTATATTCCATCGTGAGGCCTATATATTCAGACAGGAAATGGAAGCAAAGACTATAATGGTCAATGGAGCTCGAAACACTTGCTAAAGGTCACTGCAACATTATTAACTTATTTCACATAGGTCCATTACAGGAACTTCTGAAACAAACGTGTAACTCTACTCCTTTTGTCTAAATACTCCGGTCGCAGTCCTGTAAGAGTATCATTTTTGTTTTTATTTTAGGATAATTATTGCCATGTATTTTTGTTAATGTATCTTGCTTGACTCCAGGAAGAATAGCTGTGTTGAATAGCTGTGTTGAACAGCTAATGGAGATCAAAATAAACGCAAACAAATAAATACAAAAGCACATTAGTGCGGTTCAATGATACGGTTCAATGACATCATACTTTTGTATTTATTTGTTTGCGTTTATTTTGATCTCCATTAGCTGTTCAACACAGCTATTCAACACAGCTATTCTTCCTGGAGTCAAGCAAGAGCTGTTTGCTGCCTTTTAAAACAAAAGTGTTGGCATTTTTGTTGAATGTTATTTACAATTAACAATTAGAATTTGTTTGCAGCCGGTAATTTTTAAATTTGAAAAAAACCCAAAATATTTTTCACCCCCCTCTGGTGGTAGCATATGTATGGGGCCTATTATTTACCCTTGATACTGGTTTCACCATATTATTCACATTCTGAAACAAGAAATGAAAAAGCAAATGGTCTGATTACCTTTTCATTGGTGTTATGTAAAGGATAATGTATAGTGAGTTAAATGTGTTGATTGATTGTTATACGTGTCTATTGAGCATGGCTAGCTCCGATAGCTTCTGTCGCAGAGAGTAATCTACACATCTGAATTACAAGCAGAGGGTGCGTTGCCATGGGCAGCGGTCATTATTGTGAGAGGTCGAGAGGTCGGTTATAAAGAAAAATTGACCGGTGGAACGTTTTGAAATTACATTCAAATAATGGAGCTGGATGCTGTGAGGAGCCGTGTAATGAATTGGTATGTGTTATATGTCTTCTTTGTCCTGTCCACTACCATTCTTCTAACATGCACAGATGTATACATATATCTTTTATTACATTATCAGAATCAGAATCAGAATCATTTTTATTGCCACGTAAGTAACAGGAGGTCACAGACTTGGAAATTGCTTTGTCTCAGTGCAACGGTCAAAAAGAGATAATAAAAATAAGAATAAAAACACAAAAGAATAAATTTAAATTTAAAATAGAGTTACAGTTACTATTTACAATATACAAGTGCACATGGTGCACACAATGTAAGGTGACAGCAGTACAGTGAAGTAAAGTGACGTATGATGGGTAGTAAAGTGACTTTATAAAGGGCGGAGGGACAGGTTAAGAAGTGTTCAAGAGTCCAACAGCAGAGGGGAAGAAACTGTTCTTGTGGCGGGAGGTTCTAGTCCTGATGGACCGCAGCCTCCTGCCTGAGGGGAGTGGTTGGAATAGTCCATGTGCAGGGTGAGAGGGGTCGGCTGTGATACGACCAGCCCAGCCTCGAGCTCGGGCGACGTACAGGTCCTGCAGCGATGGAAGGCTGCGGCCGATCACTTCCTCTGCTGAGCGCACAATGCGCTGTAGTCTCTGTTTGTCCCATTGTCCATTATTTGTCCATTATACATTGTCTGATACATATTTGTTATGTACAGGTAAGAGATTTCATACTTAATTCTTGCTTCTTTATTATGCTAAAGATTGTTTTCAATTTGTAGTGTCCACTTACCTTGTGCTGTGATCTCCTCATTCATACTGTTGATGCAACACTGATTTTTCCCCACTGTTGGACGAATGAAGGATCTTAAATCTTAAAACCTTTCCATAACAGATGGTTTTACTGGTCCCCCTTTTTTTCCTTGTGGTGCATGTGCCTGGTGTGAAAGACCTGCAGATTGTGAGTGCCTGGACTGACAGGGTGCTCAGGATGACATAAGGCTTCTGCACTTATCTGAGCATCCATGTGGAGCAGCACTTCTGCCTCAACAACCCTGCATTTAATCTACAGCCCAGTGAAAGCATACTACTTCTCCCACGGCTCAATATGAACAGGATT